GAAACAACTTCCCCTTCAAATAAAATGGTCCATTTGTTAAAACTGAAAACTGATTTTCATTAGCTGACAGCACATTCCTCTCTATATAACAATGCATTTGACGAATAGAGAATTGCATTTCTTTGCTGCTGTCAACAGGATCTGTATCTCATTCTTTCCCTTTCTTTGTTTTTTCTTTTTTCTTTTCCTCTTGGTTCAGTTTGTTCAATGCTGTTTGTCACACAAAGGCACTGCTGCAGTGTGAATATTGACAGTAGGTTATGAATAATACAAGTAGAGCTAGAGATGAGAGGGCTTGTTAAAGGCAGTGTAGGACGTGCATGAGACCTGGCCTAGACTTGTAGATCTCTATAAATGCTTTACTTGAAGTTCAAAAGTCTGCATGAAACATTCATAATCATGACATGGGCCTTGAATCTGAATGAGATTTTATAATAATGTTTATGGTGGATTTATGACAAGTTATGTTGTCTTGGTAATGTCAAGTTGTCATAACAACAATATTTCAAACAATGTCATTATTGCATATAAAATGACATAACTAATGACACACCACCAAAAAAAGTTTGGATTGCATTCCTTAACTCCTAATGTCACTAGTTAACACAATGTATTTTTTTCAACACATCCCATAATTTCTAAAATATCAGCCTCCACCAAATGGTTAATATGTCAGTTTATGGTAAAAGTACTGGAATTATTACATGTACTATGAGAAATATGAAAATATGAAGTGTGCGACCAATTTCTAAAAAATATATATATAAATCACCTTTATTTTTTTTAAGTATACCAATAAATATTTCAGATTCTCATTTAACATATTATTGTTTTTTTTTTTTTTTTACAATAAAATCAAAATCAAGTATAGTAGTGCAACAGGATTATATTTGTTCACCTTTTAAATTACTCTAAAACAGTCAAAACTTGATAAATCATTTGGTAAAGCGGCAGTCAAATCTCATTCATGTCATGATTATAAAAATGTCTCTAGAGTCCTATGAACATCCCTTCAAGTGTTTTTTTTTGGTGAACATTGTCAAACGTTCAGAACACAGAAACTAAAATAATAATAATAACATTTCATTTGAAACTAACATTGCACTTTTGTGTGATTAAATCAATTTAAGCCTTGGTCAGATCACATGAGTTTGGCACTATTTCCTTGACGTAGGTTGTCATGGGTAGTCATAAATGACAAATTGGCTTCGTGACACAAGATTAGATCGTTTCCTCTCGTGTAATGTGGCACAGTTCACGGCTTATGACATCATCGCAGAAAGACTAGCATGTTTAATTTTTTACCCGTTCTTTATGATGAGTTCCATCACATGTATGACACTGGAGAATTAGGCATATCATTTCAGTTATATCCATGAATGCTGCCTTTAATCCACGGGTCAGGTAATCAAAAAAATAAACTGCATATTTACTTATGAGTGGGTCTTGGTGATTAAGGCTAATCATTGGTATTGCAAACTTTAACTACTTTGTCTAAAATATTAAGGTGTTTTAAACTATCAATGGATGATTTGGTCATTTAATGTAGGTTTCTCTGAAACTGAATATTTCACTTTAATTTTATTTAGGCTAGATTTTGTTTTATTCAACACATCAGCTTGTGTTTTGGTGCTGAAGCATATTGCGAACCTGTTTTAAAGCACTTCACCTCAGATGTTTTTTGTTATCGAATTATACCAAATTAAATCCGCTTCAAAAAGATATTTTTTCCAAGAAAAAATATAGGATTTATTTATTTATTTATTTATTTATATGTCTGTCTACTACTCAACTTTGTGGGTGGATGATTTGTTTTGCTCGATGGAAAATAAGAATTTAATTAATTGTAATTTGAAAATTGTAAGTGTAATTCACTGTATTTGGTGTTTTACAAACCTGTCATTTGCAAGTTTTTTTTTTTTTTAATATGTCATTATTTTATCTCGAGCATCTGATTTTTTCTTGGTGCTGATGTTCTTTCATTTACTCTATCTCACACGCCAAGTTCAGGCAAGGGGGTGTTTAAGAAACCCATGGTTGGAAAGAAAAAAAAAAAAATATATATATATATATATATATCACACCTCTACTTTGGTAAAAGTCAGGAAAGTGGGCGTATCCAGCTCTGTTTAGCGGGGAGTGTCGGAGGAGGGAAAAAGGGAAGGTCCGTAAAAATTTGCATAAAAATGGGAGTGTCGGTTTAGGCACGAGCTGATTTTCACAGAGGCAAAACAAACACAGACGCAGAGGAGAAAGACAGTGACTGTGTTTACATGGACAATTTAATCAAATTATTTGCCAAATTATTAAATTGTGGACTTTAACTGCAGTTTGGCTCTTTCATTCAGGAAGTTCATTCATGCTCCTCGTGACAAATGACATATTTGATTCGAGGAATTGCTGGAAGCATGTATTTTTCGTGCAATGTTTATTACCGCACGGCAAATGAGAGAAAAAACCCTGAGCATTTCTCAATAACTTAGATGTACTCGGTAGATAGCGTCAGAAAGCAGTGTGTGTTATTCCTGTGACAAAATGTGGTGAAAATCCTACACGACAGTTGGTTTGATTGTGGTGCTTATATGTTTACACTCGGAGAGCAGCATTTACAGCAGATTTTTCAGTCCATAATATTGTAGTGATAATAACAAACGGTAAACTTTATTAATTTCGAAATCATTTGACTGAAAGAGTACTGCTAACGATACAAACTAACTTTGTCTCTGAATAAACAAACAAAGACCACTGGTCCCTCACTTCAAAACCAAAACCTTCACTGCAACAAATTATAAAAGCAACAATGACGACCTGTATTTTTTAAACATTTCTTGTTCTCTCGCTTGGCAACACGACGTGGCATCTCCCTGCCATCTGAAAACTGTACCAGGTAAAAACAGTCTTCGAAGCTGTCATGCATATTAATGAAGTTGCACCGCATACACAATAGAGCGCCCTGATTGGTTTGAACCAAGTCTTACTCATGAATAAATGCAGCACAATTCCAGACGTCATAAGGTGCTCCCAGGTACAGACGTCCATTCTACACGCTGGAATACACGTTAAGATCTCATGGCTGTGATGTAGCTTCAAAAATTTGTTTCAAACCGGAAGTACGAATTTGCTCGAAATAACACAAAAACAACCAATTTTCACTTTTTAGTGGAATATATGTGTCCAAATAGTGTTTTTAGCAGTGTAGAACACATGTACAACTGTCAACCACTCAAAAAATGTGTTTTGGTGTTTCGTGACCCTTTAATATTTGAAAGGAAATGTGTTTGATCCTATCAATGTCATAACAAATGCCCTTAAATAACATAGCCTAGTTGTCAACAAGCATCACTGTTTATTGAGATTAAAATAAGATTGAAAAAATGTATTTGATTGAAATATTGTCTTAACAACACTTGTGACTGCTTTGGGAAATAACGCCTGTCGTAGACGTCAAAGGATGACTGATTGAGAAGGAATCTTTGATCTGACAACTTTAACATGGTTGAAAATTTAACATTTCAATTTAATAAAAAATATAAGTTTAGTCATTTGAAACAAAATATAGTCTGGGTTAGTCATGCAAAAAGGCACTGTGGTTACAGGAGCAAATTCACTTTACCTGCACAACAGCGGTGAGCAACTTTACTGACTCTAACAGAAGAACAAATACGATGCACATAAACCGTCAGCACAGTAAAAAACTACTGTCCAAAACATATTAATAAGCTAAACCACGCAGACTGGATGAATGCTGATGAGTGCTACTGAGATCGCATGGTGCATCAGTGTTTTCCTAGTGAAGGTGTAAAGATGTTTTACAGACTGAAAGAGAAAGTTGTTCTGTTGCAGAACCAGGTATTATATTATTTTATATTCTCCTTTTCAAATTAGTTTAAGTTTAAGTAAATTAATTTTTAATAATTTGCTTTTTATTATTGAATATTTTAAAATGTTCAAGGTTCTCTCTTCTTAAGTGTATCACGCTGATACTGATGCTGTGTTCATACCAGACGTGGAACGGGTGGATAAATCGCGCTTATTTGTGCGTAAATAGACGCATGAACATTTTGAGTTACTTGCTTTATTTGCGTGTCAAATCCGCTTCAGAACAGATGCGGATTCGCATCATGGGCAGGGCTTCTGTCTTCCCAGTGACTGTAGCTTGGTTGCTAAATGGCTTACATACATTTTATTGAGAAAATAGCTGTGTTTATGTGCTTTATTTAGGCTTAAGGGATGTCTATTCACGCCTTTGCATTGACTTAACATGTAAATCACTCGAGCTTAATGCTTCTTCTGCGTCTGGTGTGAACACAGCATTATACTAATTAATTATACAAGTAATATTAATTATTCACCTCCATAATCATGTTCAACTCCTGTCTCCATCCTTCTATATAATTGGTAATGTTATGGCAGAGGCCAGTCTCCAGGAGCAGAGGGCCTGTTGACCACCTCTATACACACTGCTCTCTGGTTTAGGAAAGACTTTCCTCTCCACACCAGCCATCTCAGTCCCCGGTGAAAGTTTTTTCATCAGCAGGGGACCTTGTAAATGGGCAAAGAACTCAGCTTATGCCAGAAAACATACAGGTAGATGTGCTGATATTTCTTTTTAAAAATGTAAAATCCCAGCAGTCACAGTTTTAGTTTGTTTATTTAATGAGTCTTCTTTAGTTTGTATTATTTTTTTATTTATTTGGAATTTGTTTTAAAATAACAATTTAGTTATGGCAGAAAATATATTATTTTGCTAAATAAATGTGCAGCATTTAAGAAAAAAAATGAAAGGGCTCTTGTTTACCTTAAGTTCACTATTAGTTTAAAATTGTTCTGTTTAAAAAAAAAGTCAATTTTACAACTAAACTGTGAATCATGAGATAAGCATTGTGAATCATAACGAATTGTGATACATCCCTATAAGCAATTAACAGTTTAAAAATAAAAAATAAAAATCACTAATTTTCCAGTAATGTTTTTTTTCCCCCATTTGAAGATCAAGTTACCTGGTCCTGCAGAGACATGACTGGATTGTTCTTGGTGGTGTTAATGTGGAGGACATGGAAGCGGTTCTTTCCACACAGGTCATATGCGATGTTAGTGAAGGAGGTGCTGGCAGTCTTGGGCACACGGTTATAGATGATGATCAGATCCTCAATCTCAGGCAATAGAGGAGTTTCCCGCAGGCCGTCCCTCATCTGTCTCTGCTCCACCTCTCGCACTTCATGCCGGGCCATAGTGCGCTCTGCAGGAGAGAGAAGACAAACAAAAAAAAAATTAAATTTATTATCACAATCACACTTTTATTTACGTTCTTAATAAAAACCTTAAAGTTATAAACATACAGTACAATTACAGAATTACTGTCAATTTTAAACGCTCTTATTATGCTATATTAAATATTCCTTTTGTTTTTGAAGGCTTATTTTTTGTTTTGGTATACAGTAGGCTGAGAATGCTGTCATCCAGTTGGCCAGATTGCTCAGCCTATTGTGATTGGTGTATTGTAGGGATGGAAAGATTAACGGTTTTCACTATTAATCGCACTTTAATTCGTCACGGCTAATTATTGGTAAAGGCTTCTCAACACCGCATTTCTGCACGGAACAAAACTCCTGCAACTAAAGAAAGTTATGCCAACTGTGCGCTAGTTTAAAGTTCCAACCTTGTATACCAAGGCTAATATGCATGCACACTGGATTGACTATGGCTGAGGCTATTAATTAAGGGCCGTTCATGTCACGTCCAAGCGACAACATCCCGCTCTCCCACGGGAAGCCAGCAAACATCTCCAGATAAGATATAGAGTTTCTGGAGATGTTACAGCTGAAAAAAAAAACATGTTTACAGCCTGTACAAAAGATGGTTTTTGTGCATATAGCTATTATTACCCTTCATGAGAATTGTGAGGGGGTGAATTTTTTTTTCTAACTCATCCGTTTCTTTTTTATTAAGTTATTTTAAGTCTGTATAATTAAGGGTGTAGCCACTTGAATGAAGCTAGGTCTTGCTGGTTGTCGTCAGCATATATTTCAGCATATACATCATATTTTTGTTTTGTTTTATGTAGCTTTACACAGTCAAGTGTCTTTTGGAATTATTTGGCAGATGATATGGCATGCTGTGTGCATTTAATTGTGCTCACAAACCATTCAAGTTGTCTCCTTCTGAGTGAAGCTTTATACTTATACACCATATCTATAGATGTATTTGTTTTATTTAAGAGAAATTAGCATTTATAATTTTTTTTTTATCTGTAATGCACTCCAAATCTGACAGATTGATTAGCTGTAGGCTATTAAACAGTCATCTGAAACATTGCCATACAGTGTTATGCTTTGATTTCTAAAATATCCTTGCATTTACTAACACAGATTGTATTTTTGAAGTATTTTGGAGTTATTTGTGCTATCCACCTGTAGAAAAACATCATAAGAACAGGGCTTAGTGCCTCAATGTATGAAAACAGTGTTATTAAAAGACTAAACACTTTATTGATATAGTATACAACCAAGCATATGTGGTCAGAACACAAATGAGTTGCAGGTAATGCATTAAAGCTTAAGTATTTCTCCCAAAGAAAAGCCCATCTAAGGAAAATGCTAGCAGGCACCTGCAGCTCCGCTGACACTCTGCCTTTTTTGCCCTTGTTTGGTGTCCCCCAGTCAGTGCGATGACAAGCACACAAATTGCCAACGGTTTTCCATGCCTACTTGTAGCTTCATTTGCACTTTTCCGAGACTGATGAGTGACGTCATGGATACTATGTCCATATCTTTTACATTCTATGGTCGCGTCTTTTGCTCTCGCAAGATTTTATTTCTTTACACAAATTTTTACATCAGACAAAGACAATATTTTTATTTAATCTTATTTTTATTTATTTATTCATTGTTCTGTAATTTATGTTTAGTGTAAAATTATTGCCAAAAACTTTTTACATTTATTTTTAAGCACAAAAAGAAATGGACTAATGTTTGTTTTTATTATTATTCTGTGCTGTATTATTTAGTTATTGAGCAGCAATAAATAACACTTTAAGGAATTTTCACTAGATTTTCTAAACTAGTAGTGCTTGAAATTAATGAATGCATAATAATAGTGATAACGTCAAACTGTTATTAGTCCTCTATAATTGACTATAATCGTAGAACCAAAATCAACAATCGTTGCATCCCTAGTCTATTGTGTGGTAAACAGAATGACCATTATTACCACATTCACAGTCTAGTAACAGACACTTGTGCATCACTTGAAAATACAGTAATAACAACATAATGATAATGCTGCTTTTAAGCCAACTATTGATTCTTCAAAACTGCAAGGAAAATGAATGTCTTTTTCGCTTTTTGTCTTCAACACATCAAAAACACAAAACACATTTCTTCAACTCGGTCTGTCATGATATCTAATTTTTGTTGTACGATACATTGGACCTGGACCAAAATATATTCTGCTAAAAATGACAATGTAATAACATCACAATGCAAGTACACTCTTCCAATGAACCCATAGTATTGTATACTTAAGAATATTTAATTTTATTGTCATTTTAACAGTTTAATAACTAGGCATTGGAATCAGAACATGAAGATACATATCCTAAATAAATATTAATAAAAGTTAACAAAAAAAAATGCAAGATGCAAGATCAAAAAAAAAATGCAAGAAAGAAACAGGCTGCGATATCTGCTATTAGATCTATTTTCAGTTTTCACCCACATGAAACTAAATTATTTATTCATTTATTTTCTTTTCGGCTTAGTCCCTTTATTAATTCGGGGTCGCCACAGCAAAATGAACCGCCAACTTATCCAGCACATGTTTTTTGCAGCGGATGCCCTTCCAGCTGCAACCCATCTCTGGGACACATCCATACACACTCATACACTACAGACAATTTAGCCAACAATTCACCTGTACTGCATGTCTTTGGACTGTGGGGGAAACCGGAGCATCCGGAGAAAACCCACGCAAATGCAGGGACAACATGCAAACTCCACACAGAAATGTCTGCAAAACCATAACATAGATACTTCCTTAAAGAAATCAATACTGCATGCTTCCTGATTTTGATTAAAAAAAAAATGTCATTTTTAAATCACTGTATGCAATAAAAATGGCTCATACATTCAATTACGCCATGTAATCTTAGATTATTAATAAAATATAAACTAAATGACAGACACCTTCATCCCTTATTAACTGCTTTTCAGACATCAAATCCTGGTTCACCTCTAACTTCCTGAAATTAAACGCTAATAAAATCAAACTTCTTTAAACAAATTACATAACTTTCCAATTCCCACTGCTGATTCTGTCATTACTCCTCCCTTCAGGTAAAGTGTCTGGGTGTCACATTCTACAAATCTGTTGAAGCTAAAGATCTAAAGATTCCCATCAGACCCTTCAGCCACCTGTTGATTTAGACGACAGAGAGAGTGAGACGGCAGTTTCAGCAGTGTTCTTTCCTTTGTGTACACACACAAGTACAATAACTTGCTGCACACATTAAGATGTCAGGAGAATTCTGTAGCATAAAATGCCTGTTTATGGATTTAATGTACTTCCTAGACATGCCAAATAATGTACAATGTATATTTACACAGCCCCAAAATATTGCAGCTCAGATGCTAACAAAGTAAACAACGAAAAATAGTTCATACTTAAACATTCATATTCTATTTGGCTTAGTCCCTTTATCGATGCAACCAACTTATCCAGCATATGTTTTATGCAGCGAATGCCCTTCCAGCCACAACACTGGGAAACACCCACACACTCCTGCATTTACACTCATACACAATAGCCAATTTAGCTTATTCAATTCACCTATAGCGCATGTCTTTGTACTGAGAGGGAAACCGGAGCACCTGGAGGAAACCCATGCGAACACGGGGAAAACATGCAAACTGCAAACAGACTCAGCCAGGGCTCGAACCAGTGACTTTCTTGCTGTGAGGCGATCATACTACCTACTGCACCACCATGACGCCCCATATTTAAACATGTTGAGGCAAATAATTTCAGCAGACAAAAGACAAAATATTTCAGGAAAAGTATTGGAAATGCAACTCAATCTAGATTTTTGCGAAATGGAAAACTTTTGATTGCTCAGTTAGGGAACTTTATTGCACTATTCATTTGACAAATCCACTAGAGGACACTATCCTAATCTGAAATATGTTAATTTGGGTATAATTTCTAGTATGTTTCTAAAACATGCCCTTCTTGTACAAATTCATGAGAAGGTATTGTGATGATCACTCAGTGAACCAATTACCCAAACCCTTTTCCAAACCTAACCAATAGTGTTTGCAAAAGCAAGTATAACAAAAGCCATGCTTAATCATGCTTGTAGACCATGATGCTAAACCAGACTTAAACCAATATAATATGCCACATTTAATTATTTGTCAAAATTAAGTGAGTTTTAAGCAAAATAATCTACCAATGGGGTGAGTAAAATAATCTTGTGCCAAAACGAAAAACAAGATTATTTTGCTTACCCTATTGGCAAATTATTTTGCTTGTTTTAAGAAATAATATGACATATTTATCCTAAAAACAAGACAATATTTTTGCTAGTCTAAAATTTTTTGATATTTGGACTAGCAACAAGACAAAAAAATTGAATCTAAGAAAGAAAGAAAGAAGTTTTTGCGGTCAAGTGACCATGCTCGAGAAGTTGTCTACATGGAGGTAGATTAGGCAAACATATTAGATTACAAATCACTGTTAAGTATCAATACTATGCCCCTGTAAAAACAACTAGTAGTGATTAATTTCGCTACATGCGTTAACATGCTGCGTTGACAGCGATAAAATAAAAATAAAAAAATGCCGTTAAACTATTTTCAAAGTTGGGTTTGGAGCTGGGTCTATACTGCGCAAGCTATGATGACTTTCGCCTTGATATTTTAGCGCGGATACATACCTGGTCAAATTGCACTGTAGGTGGCGAGAGCGAGTTTTCGAACCTGTGTGTATTCTTATTGTAAAATTACCACGTCAAACGTGACATGCTAACAAATATGCAATTCACTAGAGTAAATCTGATTAATGTTAGCTCCACATCTAACTATCAGGCACATGTAGAGTTTATGCGCTCAAGTAAAACATATATAAATAAAATGGACCGGGTGCTTTTTATAACGTATGATGGTGTAAAAATACAATTGACGATGTACTCTTTAAAGTGTGAAAAATATAAACAACAAATTTGAGAAACACTTGTCTACATAC